TCTGTACTTGTGCAGGAGGAGGAGGCCCTAGTGAGCTGGAAAATCTGTCCCAGAGCCTTGTTGCCTTTTTTTTTTTTTTTTTTTTTTTTTTTTCAGGAATCCAGTTAAAGGCACCAGTGTGGTTTTCCCCAAACCAGAAAAGTCCAGCAAGCTCACTGTTCCCATATTAAAGGCTGTGCATCCCAGTGATAGCAAAAAACTCACACTGATCGTTCAAGTGAAGGTTACATATACCCAAAGATGAGTAACTTGAATACAATTTCTGCATCAGCTACATCTTGCAAGCAGTTTTGCATCTTGCCAGAAAGTGTTTGATATTTGGAGAGTATTTGCAAATGGCAGATAGGAAGTTAATGGGAAATGTCTCTGACAGTAGCTGGATGTAATTAAGAGATGGACCGTAGCCATGTAGTTACATACCAGATCTCAGTTTTGGCTTATTTAATTAGAGAGATAGGGCCCAGAAAAGGGATACGCATGTTCAGCCAGTGCTGTTTTTCAAAAGAATAGTTTCAGTCTGAAAAGGGATGGGCAGTTTAATGTCTGAACCATTTGGCCTCTGTGATACGGCAGCTTGCAGGCATTATTTAAAGACATTAGCTCCTGGTTGTATCAGTCATTCCTCTGTCTTTTACTCTTTCCTAAAGTGGGGATGAGGGTGGCAGTGATGACCATTAGTACATGACTCATGTACTAATCCTAGTTTATCTCAGCAGCGTCTAGCAAAACAAAACAACAAAATAATTCCTTGCTCTTCTTTACCATCCCTATTCCTCTTGTTGAACAAACTGTGCCTGTTCTTAATCAGTGCATATTCTTGGGCTCTGTATCTTCTCCTCTGTGTGTCCTCTCGCCAGGAAGTCTCTTCCAATGCTTTATATAGCTTGAGCTGAAAAATGTCATGTACCAGACCTCTACTACTTCTCTATTAAGAGAGTGATTTATTAAGGTGTTCAGAATATGACCTTTATTCCAACTTCATGCATAGAGATTGATTTTTCTTTGTCTCTAAACTGGTCCCCCTTGCAAAATTTGATTCTCTTCCATCTCTAGCTCTTTTGAAATCCAGCCTGAAAACCATCCTCTCTGCCTCCAGTTGTGCCTTAGATACTGGGACTATGCAACTCAGCTTAAAAGCTGCTTGGGAAGACAGCTGTTGAATTGAAGCTCTGAACTTACTTGGGCACAAATGCCCAGAAATGCTTAAAAGAGGCCTCAAACAATTGGTTTAAAGATATAACAATTTTGTAGCCCTCATGTTATAATATCTCTTTCAAATGACAGCTTTTCTAGAAACAGCATCTCCCAGAGCTCTTCTGGGTAATTAAATTCCGTGGTGATTTTGTGTAAAGAGGGAGCAGAGCAACTTGCTGACTTGTCACTTTATAAGCTTGGTACCTGTATCATTGCCTAGCAGATCTTGCATCCATAATCTTTTTCGTACAAGCTGGGCAATGAGAGCATGTTCCGAGCAATTCATACAGAAAAACCTACAAAAATACCACCTCAGCAGAAAGTCATATCTTTTACCTCATAATCAAAACTCATAGCGCAGTTGTCCTTGCGGATGCGTTACTGAACGTGAGATATTTCTCTTCTGCAGGGTCTCCAGCATTTCTGCAGATGGCTGAGGGTAGGCAAGTATGCCTGAGGTAACATTCCTGTTTGCTGGGCTGATGGAATTCGGCTACGCTCCTTAACAAAACAGTTTGTTTTAGACATTTTTGATGCATGTGCAAAATGCATTTGGAAGAAAAACTAAGCAGAACAAAGACGCTGAAAGGCTAGGCAGTAAAACTAGTATTTCTCAGCTTTGGATAAGATTGACTGATGGTTCTTTTTTCCTAGTAAAAGATGTTAAAGAGCAGACCCAAGTATCCAAGAATGCCAAATTCAGATGCAGTGCCTTAGTGACCACCTGTGCTGGAAATCAGCCGTATGCCTTGGTTGTCAGAGCTGAGACTAGGGTAATAAATTAATTCAATTAGTTCTGCCACCACCAGAGATGTGGGTGCTCCGTCTTCACCTGTCTCATGATGACACCCAAAGACTAGTGAGTGGGGACACACACAGCTGTGCTGAACCATAGCAGATCTGCAGAGATGCTTCAATCCCTGCTCATCTGTGCAAACTCCCCTTTATGCATGAATTAGGTTTTTACTGCCCATTGCCTTCTCCTCTCCCCCCTCCACTTTTTCATGTTCAGTGGATTCTCCTCTCTGTGTCTCTGCCTCTCTTTCTCTGTGTTTTTTTTTTTTTCTTTTTTTTTCTCTCTCTATTGTTCCCCACGTCACCAACTGCCACTCACTTCATAAAGCCGTCTGGCTCGGAGCTTAAATATTGCAGGGCAACTAAAACCTGCCATCAGAGCCAATTCAGTCATATCTGCTCAGTCGTGCGACAAGATTGGGACTTTTAGGGTAGGGAAGAAGAGAGACAAAAGTTCACTCTTCACTGCAGAGTGCCAAGAGAGGAGGGGGACACAATTCTTCGGTGGAACCTTTCCCAGTGGCAAGTTGCTTGCTCAACATCCTTAATCTATACGATCTTTCTTGCTGGTAGCATGCTCAGATAGCAGCATCTGGAATAGCAGGGAGGGGGTTTGCAGAAAGCCCATGTGAGTTAGAATATGAGTCTGTCAACTCTGAGTGGGCTTAGGTGGACTCCTGCTCTTTTCCTCATGACAGGCAATTTAAGGGAAAAGGGGACTGCATAAATTCATCTATTTTTATTTTTTTTTTTATTTCTGAGATTTGGGGAGCTGGCTGACTGCAGGTGGAGTCCTAGGCATCTGAATTGGTTGTACTACTCATCTCCAATCCACCCAAAATTGTTCCTTAGAGTTAAGCCAACTGAGAAACCTTGAATCACTTCACTTGCAGGAAACGGGGTGGCCATGACAGAGCGTTGAAAAACGTGGCAAGTTCAGAAGCGATCGCAGGACTTTAGCCAAGTGTGGCAAGCTGCAAGTGAGGCATCTGATAGAGTCAGGAAACATTTTTCCATCTCTTCTACAGTGAGTTTTCTGTGTGATAAGGTTTATCATGTCTAGAATGCTCTTCCATGCTGTAATGGAAATGTTCAACTGGTAGCTGTGGATAGCAGTGTGACTCACAAGGAAAGAAAGGGATGTAGTTCACTGCAGTGCCTGGGAACAATGGTGTTTATATTGTGCAGTCATGTTTTTTACAGAGTTGCACATGATTGGTAACTGTTTGGTGTACTTTGCTCTGTGAATTTGCAGAAAGAGAATGTTTAAATCAGTTTAGATAATGTATGTAAACAGCATAATCTTCTGCTAGACTTGTTAATGTAAGTGCTGACATTAACACACTCCTTTACACAACTTTAATGACTGAGAAAGTAGCAATTTTCTTCAGTGATTAAATTATATGTTTGCTGCTTGTGCTTGCAAGGTGTTTATGCACGCTGAAGGACTGTGTTTTGTCTTCATTTTCTAACGCGAATGTCTGGGGTTAAAATTTTACGGTGTTTGAAGATGAGAATAATCAGTCCATCTTGTTTTAGAAAAATGACATCACAAGGATTTTTTTCATTGAAAATTTGTGAAATTCCCCAGAGTCACCGAACTCTCAATATTTTGTGTGCTTGTCTATGTGTGAATATGTACACAGAGTAGCTGAAACAGACTGGTATGCGTTGGTGTGTCATAACATATGGCATCATAAATATATCCCAGTGCTATCTGAAGGAGGAGGGAAGTTGAGATACTCAGATTTCCATACTGTTGACTGTACATTCTTTTTTCCTAGCACGTGTATATGCGTGTCTGCATCTAGAAAACTATAGATGGAGGTAGCATCTAAAAGATGGACTTCTAGGTCCCTGTGAACAGCTATTTTATGAATAATGTTAGCTGTTTCTATTGGTGCTGTCCACGAGTCACTCATTCTGGGTCACTGTAATATTCTGCACTCCTCAGAGACTTCAGACTACTACAATATATTAAATCAGAGAATCCCTAAAAAGTTTCCTCTTTATTCCCGCATTCATAGATTTTTCCCTTACCTAAAATTAAACAGTAGGAAGTTTTGGATACACAGGATGAAGCCCTGGCCAGAAATAACCCCTTATTATGTAAAAATATTGAGGGATGTAATGTTTGATCTGTGTTTCTTGAAAACTGACTACTTTCTTAGCTTTCCAATAGGATATCTGTAGCTGGCTTCCATCTTTGTGTTAGCCTGGGATAGCAACACACATTTTACAGAGAAACTAGTATTTTAGGTTCCAGTGTCAGATCTATGTGTTTCTTTCCAGGTTGGTTCCAATGTCAGTGACACAACTGACTTGAAAGGCAGATTCAGTAACTCCAATAATGCTAAATAATTATATCATATATCATGTTTATTGTATAGCAGAAATAGTAAATAAGGTAGTTATTAATCTTATAAAATATTACTTACATAGTAATGCTGTTGCTATCGCTATTGTTACCTAACAGAGTGATTTCTAATGCATGTTTAATATATGCAACCTATAGAGAGTCCAGGTTTGTATATATACAAGACGGGCACCAATTTGAGATCTGTTTGACCCATGTGTGGCTCTGCTGAAGAAGAGCCTGGGTGCTTGAAAGCTTCACTCCTTCTAACCGCTGCAGCTGCATGCTGATAAATGTGTTCTTCTGTACTGCTGGCAAGTGTCTGTGCGTGTATAAACTCTAAGCAGGCACACACAACTGAGCTTACGAGAGACCACAGAAGACTCCTATCTGGAAAAGGAGTTAAATATACTCCTTGGCTCAAAAGTAAGTGACTGCTTAGAGCCAAGGAAGAAAGAATTTGGTAAGCAGTTTGCTCTGGCTTCTCAGAACTTCTCCTGCTAATAAATCATTGTGATCAGGGCAAGCAAGAATCCTTCTTTCTGTTTCCAAAGCATGTTAGGGAAATACTTACTAGCTGAAAGCAACAACAGGCATCAGTGGGAAAACATTAGCATAACTTGTGGTCATTCTCTTTCTTTTTTCTTTTCCTTAGACAGTAAGAAATGGGTGACTGGAGTTTCTTGGGGAACATTTTAGAGCAGGTGAATGAGCAGTCCACTGTCATCGGGAGAGTTTGGCTCACAGTGCTCTTCATTTTCCGCATCCTGATCCTGGGGACAGCTGCCGAACTCGTATGGGGAGACGAGCAGTCAGACTTCGTGTGCAACACCCAGCAACCTGGTTGTGAGAACGTCTGTTATGATGAGGCCTTCCCCATCTCCCACATCCGGCTCTGGGTCCTACAGATCATTTTTGTATCCACGCCTTCGCTAGTGTACTTTGGGCATGCGGTGCACCATGTCCGCATGGAGGAGAAGAGGAAAGAGAGGGAGGAAGCTGAGAGGCGTCAGCAAGCTGAGGTGGATGAAGAGAAGCTGCCCCTGGCTCCAAATCAAAACAAAGGCAACAACCCTGATGGGACGAAGAAGTTTCGCCTGGAGGGGACCCTCCTAAGAACCTACATCTCCCACATCATTTTCAAAATGCTTTTTGAAGTGGGTTTCATAGTTGGCCAATATTTCCTCTATGGCTTCCGAATTCTCCCCCTTTACCGCTGTGGGCGGTGGCCCTGTCCCAATCTTGTGGACTGTTTTGTCTCCAGGCCCACAGAGAAGACCATTTTTATTATGTTCATGCTGGTGGTGGCTTCTGTGTCCCTTTTCCTCAACCTAGTGGAGATCAGTCACCTGATCCTGAAAAGGATCCGGAGGGCTCTGAGAAGACCAGCAGAGGAGCAGGTGGGGGAGGTGCCAGAGAAGCCCCTCCATGCCATCACAGTCTCCTCCATCCCCAAGGCCAAAGGCTACAAGCTGCTAGAAGAAGAGAAGCCAGTGTCCCACTATTTCCCTCTCACAGAAGTAGGAGTTGAGCCCAGTCCCCTTCCATCTGCCTTCAATGAGTTCGAGGAGAAGATTGGGATGGGGCCACTGGAAGATCTCTCCAGGGCATTTGATGAGAGGTTACCATCATATGCACAAGCAAAGGAACCGGAACAGGAGAAGGTAAGAGCAGAGGAGGAAGAAGAACAAGAAGAGGAACAGCCAGGACCTCAGGAAGAGCCAGGGGTGAAGAAAGCAGAGGAGGAGGTGGCAAGCGATGAAGTGGAAGGGCCTTCAGCACCCCCTGAACTCGCCACTGATATGAGACCCCTCAGCAGGCTAAGTAAAGCCAGCAGCCGGGCCAGGTCAGATGATTTGACTGTATGAGGGTGCAGGATACGGGGAGCACATGAAAAGGAAAAGGAGTAAAAGAAAAGAAGAGAGAAAGAATCGAAAGATATTTTAAGCAAAGTGCTAAATGGTCATTTGAATATTATTTCTGCTTGAGATTCTCAACTGGAAAGGTACTATCATGGTAACTGTGCCTTATTTGCCCTATATGTCCATTTGAAAAAGAACATTTTCCCTGTTTCCACATGCCAGCTCATTCCTTACAGTAATATTGATGCTGTAAACATAACTGATATCTTTTAAGACCAAATGTAGCAGTGAAACCCAAATGCCACCACTGTGAATGTACTTACTGGAAGCTTTGTGTTCCAAATTTTTCTAGGAACGTGGGGAGGATCTGTCTCATGAGCCAGCCAGCTAGGGGGACAGCTGATATACGACCATATCTACTATTTCTCTTTTTGTTTTCAGCTATTGCATACTGAGCAGATCTCCCCTTCACTGTTGGCATGGAATTGCATTTATTTAATTAACAAAGTGAATTCTGTGTTTAGCATCACCACACTATAACAGTAAGCACTATTTCCCCTCTCTATTCAGAAAGAAAATGCCAAAAGTGTCCACAACTTGTTTATACATGCAAATTTGGGTTAGGTAAAAATATTTTTCCTTTTTTCAAAAATATTTTTACTCTTCAAGTGATAGTGACAGTGGGCAAGGATAACACTAGCTCTCTTCTAGGATTTAGCAGATGCCCACAGATGGATTATTTGTTCCCAAGAGGGTCATCCAGCCCAAGCCTACTTCAGAGTACTGGGAAGAATAAATTCAAGTGATATATTTTTCACTTGTAGTCCCGTGACTTAAAGATCTGAAACTTGATTTAGCAAAGCAAGCGTGGGAAGTTTTCTGTGAAAGGAGGGACAGCTACAGTCCCCAGAGCACGAAACCAAATACAAGCCTTCACGGCACGATCCTGACATGTGCTCAGTTCCTGGAGCTCCCAGACTTACAGGCACTCAGCAAATCTCAGGTATGGTGTCCTGAAGGCACCTGTGAACCTAAACCACAGGTCTGGGTGACTGTGACAATTTAAACCTCTGAATACAAAACTGGTTGTTCGAGTTTGAAAAGTCTGATATGATAATAGTCTTTTGACATCCTTTGTTTTTAATTTGACAGACCGGAGCCATCCAGTGGTCTACTTCAACATAAAAGGCCAAAGTCTTGAATAAAACAAGACCTTTCAAAAGATCATTTAGACCTCTTGTGCCAACAGGTCTGTGCAGAACTCTCAGAGCCTCGGTAAATCTTTTTGGTTACAAAAGGCAGAAAAGCATGTGCTTGCAAATGTTTAAATGTCTGTGGATTTTTATTTTTACGACTGCAGCAGCACCTTTGGGCTGGGACAGTGCAGCAGTACATTTAAAAGCTTTAGGTTACCAGCTGTGTCCCTCCTAAAACTGAGCCTCATGCCAGAAAAGTGCAGGTATGCACTCTCATTTGCTCTGCTCTGCAAACCTCAGACCCTGCCAGCTCAGCGAATTCTTTCTGCTGGGCTGCAGCCCATTCCATTGTTCCCAGGGCAGGCTCTAATCCAGGTCAGGAAAAAAAACAGTCTTTGGCACAATGCATAAAACTCATCCTGCCATTAGCTAGAAAAGACCCCTGCCGACTCCCATTGTAGCAGGGCTGACTCAAAGCCCACTGAAGTCAAACGGGTGTCTGAGATGGGTCTCGGGTGGGCTTGGACTCACACGAGCTGTCCTGCTCTACTGCGTCCCAGCCCAGGAGACCCCTGGTACAATCACCTCTGTCACTGATGTAACCTGCTCGGTGGAGGTCCCATTCCTTGTTTCGCAGCTGCCATGTTCTAGCACAAAGGTGGCTGAACTTCACTGATGTGTGAAGTAATAAGCTGTACATATGTAGAAAGTTTGTAGGGTGCATTGGGATTCTTCAGCACCATAGCAGTGCCATGTATTTTTTACACTATTAATCCTTTTGCTCCCCTTGGGACTGTGTATTTTCCCAAGGTTTGCAGCCCGTGGTCATAATCTTTGCTCCTTTGAGAAAGGCTGCTAGGTTTTCAAGAGAGACTTCCTTGTGAAGGAAGACTGGAAGGTACCTCCTCAGTTTTGGGAAAAGATATGGCAAAGCAAGATATGTGAAAGAACATGCCGGGGGAGAATTTGGAGGCTACCATTTACTCATTCTTTTACTACAGAAACGAGAATAGTAAACACAAAGACACCTGGCAAAACTAAAGTGAGGAAAGAGTTTTTTAGAAGGAAAAGTGCATTCAGCTCTGGGGCCTCCAACACAAGAAGGACACGGACTTGTTGGAGTGAGGCCAGAGGAGGACCGCGAAGGTGATCACAGTGTTGGAGCACCTCTCCTATGAAGACAGGCTGAGAGAGTTGGGCTGTTCGGCCTGGAGAAGAGAAGGCTCCAGGGAGACCTTATAGTGGCCTTCCAGTACCTAAAGGGGGCCTACAGGAAAGCTGGGGAGGGACTCCTTGTCAGGAGGTGTAGTGACAGGACAAGAGGTAATAGCTTTAGTCTAAAGGAGGGTAGGTTTAGATTAGGTATTAGAAAGAAATTCTTTACTGTGAGGGAGGTGAGGCCCTGTCCCAGGCTGCCCAAAGAAGCTGTGGATGCCCCATCCCTGGAGGTGCTCAAGGCCAGGCTGGATGGGGCTTTGGGCAGCCTGGGCTGGTGGGAGGTGTCCCTGCCCATGGTTGGGGCATGGAACTGGGTGGGCTTTAAGGTCACTTCCAACCCAACCCATTCTGTGATTCTATGAAATGATTCTGTTGTGTCCAACACTCTGCTAGAATCCCAGAAAGAGCAATGATTTAGATGAACAGCAAAACCACCACATTTGTACTAGATGGGATGCATTACATTTTATTTTTTTCTTCACAGAGATGGTAAAAGAGAGTTGTAGTAGTTCTGATCATAAAAGATCCTACTCATTGAAGGGTGTTGGAAACACATTTCCCTGTAGGGAAAAGAGTAACCTGTAACTGAATGGTTATTCAGTGTGAGGTATCTTCGACTTTCTTCAGAACATCTGACCCTTTCAGATACCAATTTACCAGAGTAGATGAACATCCCCCCAACCCCCATTTCCTTCTAATTACTTGAAAAGTCCTTATACTTGCAAAATATTTTAATAACCATCCCTGTTCCTGACCTCTGACATGCCTACCTTTATTAGATCACTGGACTACTTAGAGATGAGTGCTTATTCATCAGAGGTTTATGGTTCATAATATGGCTGTCAGACAATCCAGTCTTTAATCATAAGATGTTGAGTATGTCATTCTTTTTCAGTGGAGTGCCTCGGTAGAATACACTACATGCAGCATACTGAATGGACACTGTAGTTCTTTCACAGCTGCCACAGGAAAGCTCATTTCTTCCTCCAGGTCATGACAGTGCAATGAATTAAGCCAATGTTTTCCTCCTGCATCCCGTCAGCTGCTTGTTGATTTCTTTCAAGCCGATTTTCGAGTGCCCTGCCAGGCCGCTGAAGAAGCTGCAGCTGCCAAGTATGAGCCACAGCATCAAAGCAGCACTTCTCAGCAAACTGGGCAGGGAACTAATAGTCAGGTTTTATGGTGTTCAGCCTCATCTCTGCAGTGAAATCACCGTGGGACTGTCAGCAAGTCATTCTTCCTTCTTGTACAATTGGGAATCATTTTTCTACCTCACGAAGATGATGTGAGGCTCAATATATTGTGTTAGTAATAGGATGGGAGATCCTTGGATGGAAAGCCCTACAGATGAGCAAAGGATTATTTCTGAATGTGATAGCATATAAATGTGTTTTATTCCACCCTCAGTGAGACAAATTTAATCATTTATTCAAGAAATTGCTAGTGAAGTTGCGTAGCAGCCTCAGAGCTGTGGATTCAGTGTATTAAAAATAATTAAGCAAAACAAATATAGATAGAGAACAGGGAAAATTATCTTGGGAAGGGGAAAGTCACTGGACAACGAGTCATGCCTGGATCATTTAAAGATGTGTACTACCCCCTTGCCTCCCTGTGCAAATAAACCATTAACTGATCACGTGGCTCTCTGGAAGGAGCACACGATGCAAGTGTCAAATTCACCAAAGGAGGTGAAAGTAGAAGAGAAAGGTAGTGTTAGCTTACGATAGCATGTGGGAGTTGGTGTTCTTAGTGTCTAGAGCAGTGGACCTAGGATAATGATCTTAGATTTATTTCCAGCTCTGCTACTGACTTGCTGTGATAATCACTTTACCTCTCGGTGCCTGTTTTTTCCACCTGTAAAATGGGTGTAAGAATTTCCACCTACCTCACAGGGATGTTGTGAGGCTTCTTTAATTCTGTTTGTAAAGTAAGTAGGAATGATCTGATGAAAAGCACTGCTGAAATGCATTGTATCCTTGTTATTTCCTGCCAGAACTTTTCACTTGGTTAATATGACTTCTTGACTAAGAAAGGTGGTACTTTGAAAATGCAAACACTGCATTGCACTGACAACATTAACACCGATGTGGATTTGCCATGAATGGAGAAGACTCTGCTGACTCCCCACCCATTTCTCCCACCTTAGCCTTGGCTTGGCTGTATGAAGCCATGGTGACAGTGAGGTTCCACGGACCCCTCCTGTCCATCCCAGCATCATTCTGTGGCAACACCTATGCTTAAATAATCCAGATTCTGGAGGGGGGTGCAAGTTGGTGGAGCTTTGGCAACTTTGAGGGCATCACAAGGCATCTGGGAGAGGGTTGTATAATGCATCATATTGCTGGGCTTCTCTTTAAAACCACTCGATGCAAATTCCAAGTGATTTTTTCAGAATCTCCGTGGAATCTCAAGTAATTTCAGAATCTATGGAAGAGTTTACAATTGCTTGTGGCATGCAGGAAGAAACACCCTTCGTGAACGTAAAAACACAAAAATTGTCATATTACACTGATTATTTCCAATAAGTGAGATAGATATCAACAATCTCTTAGCACTGAAAAGGATGATGAAGTACAGATTACTTCTGTAGGACAGGAGGGACTTGAGGGGAATTCTGCTCTTCATGTCTGTGTGGGTCTGAAATCTACTTACTGAGGGAGGAAAGTCCAGTCACTCCTGCCGCTCGGTAACTCACTGACTGTGCAGTTTTACATTGAGAGAGCAGCCATGCCACACAATGCTGAAAAAAGTGGCAGATTGCTGGTTTGTGTAGAAAATGGCTTTTCAGGCGTACAACTGAGAATAATCCCAGCCTAAGCGCAGTTTTGTTTAATAAAGACAGGAATACCCATGAAAACTAGATTAAAGCCTTCCCATAAGCCTAAGGCTGCTGTGATAAAATGGCATATGGTGCCAGATTTCCTGAGGGCCAGGGCTGGATGAGCATACCAAAATCAGGGGAGTTGTCTAAGTATGGGACTCTTTATTTTTTTTATTTTTTCCCCAGACAGAATGATAGCACCATTTCTTAGGTTCTGTGTGTGCTACACCTTTTAACAGGGCTCAGGAGAGGCTTTTTGCCAACACCAAATGTGATTATACAGTTGGGTAGCAACCATGGCAAATAAATGTGTGTTGACTTGCCAAGACATAGCCTGGCACACAGTTCTTTCCTTGCAACAAGCTTGGCATACACCTATTTCAGTAGAATGGGCAAGACTCGTGTCTCTGTCACCAATGCAAGTTTTTCTCTCAGCAGTTTGTTCTTTCAGCTGTCCTAACAGACAGTTCGAAGCCTAGAGAGGAGAGGGCTAAGGGGACGGGGAGCCCTCATGGCTGTCTTCAGCTACCTGGTGGGGAATTACAGGGAAGATGGAGCCAGACTTTCCACAGAGGTGCACAGCAAAGTGTCAGAGGCAATGATCACAAGTAACAGCAAGGAAAATTTTGACTAAAAATTCTGACAAGAAAAAAAATGTTCAGGTGGAGAGGGGTTGAGCAGTGAAACAGGTGTCCAGAGTCATGGTGGGCTTTCCATCCTTAGAGTTAAGAAGCCTGACTGGTCTGACTTTGAAATTGGCGCTGCATTGAGCTGGAGGTTGGACCAGCTGCCTCTTTCCAGCCTGAACTACCTATCCCACCAGAGGCCAAAAACTCAGCGAAGCCACTGTGTGGCGAACCAGACGGGTGGGGCATTTTCTGCCTCCCTGGGGTGCTCTGGTAGAGCTTGCTTGCATTGTCTCAGCCGGCAATCCCAACTAACCATAGCAGGGGCCAATGCACAAACACAACCAAATGGTGTTTGGTAGGTAGAAAAGCCCCAAGGGGCCAGAACCATGTGTCATGTAACTGGTTTGGAAAGACCACTGCAAATGAGGAATATATGAGTGAACTTGTCAACTGAGAAACTCACAGAAATATAAGGGGCTTAGACCTTGCTAGCTCCAGTACTTCAGTATCAACTGTGCCTTTAAATCCATCTGAAAGTGTAGAGGACTGCATTTTATGTACTGTCAACAAAAAAAAATGTGCATTTTAAAGCCTGCTGATCGGCGATGAAACAGAACTGAATAGAAAAGGTGATTACAGAGCTACTGACAGAACATTTTGAAAAAACAAAGACTGCTGGCCTTTGCCTAGCCCAGTTAAAGCAAAGCAAGCTTTTTTTTTTTTTTTTCTTTTTTTTTCCCTAGGAGGAAAGGCTATATTGCTTGGAAAAAAATCATGGAATAGCCTACCCGAAAACATAAGTCAACACAACAAAGAATTTATGGAGAAACATTAAATGGAAAAGTTGGCTCCTACTGAGTTTCTTTGAAGTCCAGGGGAGAGCTGGATGGAACGATGACCAGAACAATGAAACCCAGTTTCATTGGGTTTCAGTGCTCAACAAATGAGCACACAAAAAAATCCTGGACTGCAAGCAGCTGCTGAGCAGAGTCCCTACAGGAGGGCAGCAGGGAACCCCAGGTTCAACTCAGGGCACCAGCTGAGGGGAAGCTGCAGACGAAGGCTGATGCTAAGAGGCCCGTGAGCTCATAGACTTAGTATCTCATGGCAAGGGTATGGCAAGACAAAGTGAGCAATGAATTACCTGCCCATTACCAGATCTGGTATCACTGGATTTTAAGAAGGTCAGTGACATTAAAATAATTTAAGTCCTAGATCCTGGGTTTATCTGGCAGAACCAAGAAGAAGAGCTAGTGTAGGTAATTTATTTTTTTTTTTCCAAATCCTTCAACCAGGGAGTATGAAGAATTGCTGGGACAAAAACTCTCAGGCATTTCTTCATACATATATTATTTCAAAGAAAAGCCATAGACAACCCCACAAAGGAATTCATCTATTGCTGGTGAGAATCAAGACCCAGAACTCACCACAAATAAATTCAAAAGAAATTCAGAAATCAGAATGATGTCAGATTACTCGCAGCTTCAGAGCTCCTGTTTATGAAAAGCTCTGGAGAGAAAATAAAACAAAATGGATGGCCAGCTGCCAGCTAAGCCTATTTGTCACGAATATGCCCTGTAGCACCTTCTGGAAACCTATGCTATCTCTAAATATACTCCAGCCCAACAAACTGTTTTAATTCAATATGCTCCACCTTTCCGTTTTACTTGAAAGACTTCAATCTAGTTCCCGCTATGAACTGAACATAAAATTCCCACATTCACACTTCAATATGTGGAAGAATAAAAGATGGAGCTAAGCACAAGCCTGAAATGCACTGAACAGCCTTCCTTCCTCGGCTGCTGCCTTGCCACTCCAGGCACCTTCATCAATATTGTGCCTGGTGAAACTACTGGCCTGTCACAGCTGGGAAGCTGCCTTTGTGTCTGTGATGTGCCACGGACTCTTCTCCCCCCACACGCATGCCCGTGGCTGTCGAAGGAGGAGCGACATGAAATAAATTTCCCATTTGCCTTTTACACTTTTTGTTTTCCTACAGGAGAGGTCCTGGGGCAGGGGTGGAAGGGTGGATGTGAGGGTTTCCAACAGGAATCATCTTCTTCCCTGTGTGTTTCTCCCAAGGCTCAGGGATCAGTAATTTACGGCTTAGCACAGACATGTTTCAAGCCTATTTATAAATACACACAATGAAGAAAGTTTAATGAGCTATGGCCAAACTCTGCCTTGTTTTTTCCCCTTGTTTTGAAATGAGCAGAATTGCCAAGGTTAAACAAGACCAGAATTTGGCTTTGAACAGTTTATTTTTTTTACAAGATTTCCATTTAATTTCTGTCTTTAGAAACCAACCAACCAAGCAAGCAACCTTGCCCCACAACCTGACAATGCAGAACAGAGCCACCACATGTCCCTCCAAGCTCAACAGGCTCATCACTTTATGAAAGATCAATTTCTAAGCAATAGGCACAGAAGAACGAATGGGGAAGTTCTGATCTCAGCTTGACATTAATTGGCAGCAATACCAGAAGCTGTAAAAAAGGGCCTCAGATCAGATAGAGTACTGTGCTCCCTCAGTTCATTTTCCTATGAAAGGTGAATGTTTGTTTTCTCTTTGCACTGCTGTAGACAAGGAGACAGATCTCAAAACAAGATGACTGACAGCAAGACAGAAAGCCAAACTATCAGAGACTGTGGGACTAATCCGGTGACTCAACACAACCAAACGCAGAGCCATTTTCCTAGTGAAATGAGTTGTAATGAAGAAAGGTTCCTGATTTTCAGTCAGCAAGTGTTCTGTGCTTTGTTGAACTCCCGACTGTGATTTATTACCCCAACCATAGTCAGTTTTGAGTGGCAAAAGTCAGGCATATTTTTAAGAGGGGAAAAAAAAAATCACAGACACCACTAGGTTCAAACAAGGGCAGGACCGTGACATGAAGGATTGGATCTCACACCGATAGGCATCAGGAAATTCCCTGTTTGAACTTCTACTTCCCTTCTGGCCCCGTTCCTTGACAGCAACGCTGCGAGGCCTGACCGCCACCCCTGGCTGGGGTTGCAGCGGGAAGGGCCGGACGCGGGACATGGCGCCATGCAGCTGCACGGGCCTCGCCCCTGACACCGGCCACCATCGCCCTTGCACACAGTCCCTTTCCCTCGGCTCCTTCGTGCATTTTTTGGGGTCAGACAGGCACCTCCGCAGCGGGCAGGATGCAGGCGAGGAAGTAACTCAGTGTGTATGGGGGCTGGGGGCTCCAATGCCGCCTGCAGCAAGCCCCCAGCTCACACTCACCCCCCTCCCCCGAGGAGAAACGTGAGGGACACGCATTTTTCAAGTTGTACTATTTTTATTTGTCTTTATTATAACCAACTTTATTCCGCTTGCTTTATTATCGCTCTTTTTAACATGACCAGTATCAGTTTCGAGGAGGCTTTCAGCCCGAGGCACTCCCCACACCCTCTCCCCGGGCGGGGGGCGGCTTCTGGCCCTCGCCCCGCCCCTTCACCCTTCCCCGGGCCTGCGCGCTGCAGCCAGCGGCAGGAGCGCGGTGCCGGGAGCGGGGCGGCGGCCGGCGGCGGCGCGGGGTCCGCCATGAGCTTCCTCATCGACTCCGCCATCATGGTCACCTCCCAGGTAGCGGGGCTGGGACGGGACGGGCCGGGAGGGGACGGGACGGGAGGGCTGCGGAAGCGGCCGTTGGGACTCTGGGGGGGAGTGGGCGGGGCGGGGGGACGCGCGTGCGCAGTGCTGGCTGCCGCCTCTACCTCAGCTTGATATTGATGTATAATTTCATACCTTGGCGTTGGTGCTCAGCTCTTTGCTCTGTTTCGTTCTCTATATCACAGAATCAGCTAGGTTGGAGACCTCCGAGATCACCTAGTCCAACCTCTGACCTAACGTTAACAAGTCCTCCACTAAACCGTATCACTAAGCGCTCTACATCTGGAATCTACATCTACATTGCGTTCCCCTGTGCCACTGCTTATCTTACTGACATACAATGATTCTTCTCTTTGGTTTATTCAAACATAACTTAAATACACTGTGAATTCTCTTTTGGATTGGGCTCTTCTAAATCGTTACACTTGTTTTCAGCCTTCTGAGGAATAGATGTGGTTACCCAAGGCCTGACGACACAGGCTCCTTTTTCTGGGTTAAGAAGGGTAATTAGTTTGGGCTGCGTTGCATAATTTGTATTTATTTTAAGTTTGCAAAACTCTGCAAAATGGCTGGGATGTTAAGTCCATCTCAGGTGTGTTCTGAAACTTAACTAAGTCGTGGAGAGTGCTCTGAGATCCTTTGAAATGCAAAGCATTATTGGCTTGTCCTACTTCAGCTAGCTTTTCTATGTGGCTTTCTACAACTCCAGATGAAAGTTTGAGCCATTCAGCACTGTCTTTTTCCTACCATAGAGATGCTTTTAACACCCTTTTCCCACATTCTGTCAGAGTATAGTCTGATTTAGTGTTAAGACCCCTCCAGAAAAATCAAATGCATGTGCCATCCTAAGGAAGTAGACTTTTTTATAAGATTTGCACATCACTGGAAGATACATAATGTGGTCATTCAGGTGTTTACTTTACCTCCATTACTGTGTTTCCTGTAAAAACTATAAACTTTACTTCTGTAGATTAGGAGTGTGAAACAAGAAACAGCAGTGCAAAGGTTCTGGCAGGCCAGGAACTGAGGTACTGAGAAGTTAGGAATACAGAGAAAAGCTGTCTTGGCTCAATCTTCTTTAAGATGATAGGCTTTTATACCTGCTACTGTTGAATATTTAAAATATTCTTTTCTACATGGTACCATGGCAAGGTTAATCTTCTGTAGAGCTTGGGTGTGTTGGTTCAGCTCTGTTCCTTCCATTTCTTTAATCTACAGTCAGGAGTTGAGCAGCTTCATATTCTGCAAGTTGCTGGATATAAATGTCAAGTGCTTCACCTCTTTTGCAGGTGCTGTTCTTTGGATTTGGATGGCTATTCTTCATGCGCAAGCTCTTCAAGGATTACGAGGTAAGAAGGGGCCTTTCATTACAATTTTGTATCTTAAAATTACGCCCTGTTATTGCAATATCCTTAAAACTGCTTCTGGCCTTTTTCCTCTATTTAAGCTCTCTTATCTTATTCCTAGTTGTCTTTACAGTTACTTTATTTTTCATTTCCTCTGTGCTTGTATTTAAAAGGCTCCTGGTATCTAGGGAAATGTATTTTTTTCTGGGGCCACTGAGAGTTTCTATATTGGAAACTGTTAAATTAAAAAAAAACAAGTGGAGGAAGACCTGGGGTAATAGAAGGCTTTCCCTTTTGCTTGAGTAAGCTTGCCTTACATAATTGTAGAATTTCTGAGTCGAAATCAAATTAAACTTTCACCTTGGTGGGATGTGTTTGTTGTGGCTGAATTGTTGAGGATTGACTGGGACAAAACTGTCTTATCCCTAGGGAGCTGTAAGAAAATACAGTCTAGACAAGAGGTGGCATAAATACAAGCCACTTTCAACCCCCCAAACTTTTTCTGATACATATCTTATTTTTAAATCTAAGGTAAAGAGCATGGAGCTCAGTAGCAAGGGCCTATTGTTAGTCAAGTTGCCCTAGGGCATTACACGCTTGAAATCCCTTCTGTGTAAGGCATCTCTGTTAAATATGATGATAGCTTCAGTCAGTATAATACTGAGCATCTTCTGGGTTTGCCCTCTGGTTTCTAACAGGCTGTTGTTCTTCCCATTTCGATAAAATGCGAGGTGCCTTGAAGCAAGAGTTGTGTGCAATTTTACCTCGTGACTAATTTTTTTTACCTGAGGGATATCAGGATACCATTCTATGAAGGGAAATGCCTGAAATCTCTGGCTTATTTTCTTCATTGCAGGTGCGACAATATGTTGTGCAGGTGATCTTCTCTGTGACTTTTGCCTTCTCTTGTACTATGTTTGAGCTCATCATCTTTGAGATTTTGGGGGTGCTGAACAGCAGGTGAGTTTGGGAGCTGACTGAAGGACTAGCCTGCCTAGTGTTCAGCAGCAGCTTCCTGGGTAGATGAGATTTTGGTTGCAGAAATTCTGTGAGAAAATTGTCAACAACTCAACAAAGATATTTGAACTGGATTTGTTTGTCAGAACGTGAGACTAGAAGCCCTAAATTCCTGATTTTCCGTGCCGCCACTTATTGGTGTGGACTAATAGCAAGGCTTTAATCTTTGGCTTTTTCCATTTGTGAAATGAAAGAGCAGTTTCTTTCATGGGAGTGTTGTGAAACTTCAGGTCATGCTGAAGAGCACATTTTAGATGTTAAGGACTGTAAAAACTGTAAGCACTTTTTTTTGCACTGGTCAAAACAATAAGATGTGAAGCTAATTGTGGAGTGAAAACTGTGCTTATGTAGTACTACAGTCTTTGTGAATCAAAGGCACATCCTCCCTTGACATAGGGGCTGGTAAAAACTGAGTACTTCAGAAATCACCAGGAGAGAGAAGGTAGAACAGTAACACGTAGAGGTTATCTGGGATTCCTGTTCATTGTCTCTAATCATACTAGGCTAAGAGAGCAATCAAAGGAATTGAAAGGCACGAAGTTCAAAACTGATAAAAAGGTAATGGTAGTTTTGACTGCACGTTATTAATCTGTAGAGCTTGCAGCCAGAGAGATCACTGTGGAGAATGCTTTCATGAGCTTCAATAAAGGGTTGGAAATCAGTGTAGATGAAAATGTCTGCCTCTGAATTAGCTAGGGGAGAGGTGACATGGATCCTCTGATGTTCTTCTTCCCTGAGGAATGAACAGGGTATGGGTGTGTATTGGGAACTGGACATGTATTTTTCTGTGAAAACTAAGTGAAAAGTCAATTCAACCAAGATTAATCTCTTCTTGATTTGGCTAATATCTTTTGGTCAGAGGAGTATTGATTGTGTGTGTGTGTGTGTTTTAAACTCTTGGCAATGTCTTGTATGTGAAAAAATGCACTTTGAAACATATCGAGTTGTGAACAGTAAATATTTTTAATCTTTTCTATTTGAATTAGCCATTTTTGACTTGTCCATTCATTAAAAAAATTAATTATTTCTTATACATCATTTTGACCTAATGTTCAACTAGACAAGTAGTACACCAGATGAATCATGATGCAACCAGCATTAATCACTTTAGAAAATAGAGTATTTTTGAAAATAGCAGATTGTTCAGGGTAGTTGTTAGTTTTGAAATGCACATTCTTGAGCTGTGTATGGTGGAAAAAAAACAAAACCAACAGAATATGCTACATGCTAGGCCAATATTATCCAATGTACGATTTAGTTGCAAGGATTTCATTGAGAGGTGATTCTTTGAGAAATTTTCTGTGTTATAGTGTGCTGATCTGTATTTTGGCTTTGTTTTAGCTCTCGATATTTTCACTGGAAGCTGAACCTGTGTGTCATTTTGCTCATCCTAGTCTTCATGGTACCCTTCTACATCGGTTACTTTGTTGTGAGCAATATCAGATTATGTGAGTACTTGGTTTGCACAATGGGGCTGCTAATTTGAGAATTTGAGACTATGCATACAAGTGAGATTTTTTTTATTTTTTTTTGAGAGAGGTGTCACTATTCCTGTATTTCTATTCTTCCCCTAACTTTTTCCTAGCTAGTTAACTTCTGCCTGGAACTTAGTGCCTGAGCATTAACTATTTATTGAATAGTTAGGGGATACTTTACCTGACCCCAACACATGTAGCTTTTCTTTCTGGGTTTTGGCAAAGATTGGTGCTTGGGAGTAATGTTACTGGAATTTGTTCCTTTACAATTTTAAGCTTGCAGCCAAGCCTGGGAGATGTTGGCAAGGCTGTGTTATGTTAAGGGGTGAAAGAAATAAGGCAGGAAAGCTCAATACATTACCTTTTTTTTTTTTTTGTGTGTGTGTACTACTGTCTGGTTGAGGCCTCTTCCATGTGCTAATGCACATTTAACCTTAAGCTATTGATACTCATCACACTCGGGTATATAGGTTGGGAGTATTAAATATGTAGTTTTGGCATTACAATGAAGTTTCCAAGTTTCACGTTCAGTGTCTCACAAGAAAGATGCAGCCAAGTGGTTCCCTGTTCACAGCACAGGCATCTTTGTGCATCCCTAGGGAAAAGCCAAAGTGGTGTGTCGCTGTGTTAGCTCTTACAAAAGGTGGTGGTGTCTCGAGCAGGAGTTTGGCAGGAAGTGAAGGGGTGCATACTGCTAGCTCTGGGTTTGTCTGGTGGCACCTGTTTTGGCTACCTGTGTTCAAAGCAGCCTTTGGACCAATGTTTAGTGATTTTGCAAGCTTGAAAAAGCCTTAAAGGACGAACTTCTTTAAAGCGCTGTTTTTGTTTTTTCCTTTCCATTAGTGCACAGACAGAAACTACTTTTTGCATGTGTTCTATGGTTGACATTCATGTATTTCTTCTGGAAGCTGGGGGATCCATTTCCCATCCTCAGCCCAAAACATGGTGAGTTGCATATCCTTGTTCATCCCTTTCCTCCTGAAAATAGTCTTTGCTAATCTGACCTTTATCTTGGAGCTTTAATCATGTTGTCTTAGCTCTACATTTGGGACTGTAGAAAGTAGTTCTTGCAACTCGGTCTGATTTGAAACATGGAATCTGAATGTTGTCAGACAGAAATAGTTGGATATACCTGAATTATTTGCATAAGTTTTCTCCCAGTACCACAGAAAAACTTTAGGGAAGTGAATGAGTCCTAACAGCCTAAGGTCTGCAGGAACACTGTACTTCTTGAGGAGTTTCCTTCATCTCCACAAAACGTATGACGTTTTGTGGTTACAAGTTGATTGCAGTTTTTCTTCACTTGTTATTTTTCTTGTGGAGACTAATGTACTCTAAGAATAGAATTGACAAGCAATCCTTCATCTGAGTGTTGTCAGTCTGATTATCTTTTTTTCTTTGTGACTGAAATCAGATCAATTTAACATAGGTGGCTGACAGGCCAGTTGATGAAACATGGCAGAGTTCCAAACAGCAGAGCTATTTAGACTGTAGCTAGCAACGTGTCTGGCAGGGTATATTAGCTTCGCTACAGCTTCGTACACCACCTGAGTCCACAGACAGCACAGTTGCATGGTACTAGAATGTGAGTTGATAAGTCCTGCTGGATACCGGAGCTATTTATATGCAGAATTAGCTTGGGTATCTCTGCATTGCACTCATGGAACCAAGAATATTTATAGTGTGAAGATACTGTGTGGACCTGGAATAGTTGGGGTCCCAACAGATCTTGTCAGCATGTGCATAACTGAGGCTTTCTACAGTCTTGTAAGGCACACCTGGGTGTGCCTTAGACCTAGAAAGGACTAGTTGTTACCTGGATTTCCTGTGTAACTTATCCTGCCATTATCCCCAGTGCCAGAGAATTGTTTCTGTGTTTTTCTCAACAGGAAAGATTCAGGCAGTTTCACTTAAATTGGTTAACGTGTCTGTCAGCATAGATATCCATCAGCTTAATCTCTCTATTCTTTGTGAGGCTACTTTATTTGGTGCTCATTTATAAGGTTAAAAATCGAAGGATACCAATTGCTATAGAGTCTGCTCACTCTTTCCTCTGTGATCCTGAAAGTTACCTAAGAGAAAGTGTGTATCTGTGTTTTATAATTGTGTCATTTGCCAGCCAAGTACAGTAGCTTGTAAATAGCACAGATCACTCTGCACAGTGTTTCGTTGCCAAGAAAAAAGTGTATCCACTTCAACTGCAGAAGGAGCTTGACTTGGCAGAATATAATAACCCAATGGGAGTTTAGCTGTAGGGTTTAGGTAATCCCAGTTCAGACTGCTGAAAAGGTTCTGTGGAATTGAGTAACGACTGCAGATTTCCATAACTGGTAGTGTTTCTCTTGTTTCTGTTTTTTATCTTCTGCTTTACAAGATAGTACCTCCACTTAACAGCTACACAGTGCCTTATCCTGCCAGGTGTAGACAGAAGTTAGGAGGAAAGGATACTGAACTTTTTGTCCTGCAGTACTGCTGGGGTGCTGCTGTACTGACAAGGCAATGGCAGGGCTTTGTCCTGATTCAGATGTGTAGGACCTGTCGTGGAAGCCCTTTAAAATACATGCACTGGCTTCCTGAATTGGAGTTGCTTTACTTGGGGATGGTGTTGGCACTGTGCTGCAGCTGGTAAATGCGCTGGGCACCAGGGCTCTGTGTCAGGAGCCCTTGATGATGACTTTATATGCAGTTTGTGTAGTAGGACTTTGTAGACTTGAGTTTGGGAGCTCAGCGTAGAGAGAAGGTTATTCTTTACTTGGATTATGTACTGGTGTGAGACCCTTATCTTCATCTGAGGTTATAAAGCATGTGTTTTATGTGACCTGATCACAAGAGCAGGGATGCTCTGAGTGTTATGGGGGAGCATTGCTTTAGCTGGTGGAATGTCATATCATTTTGAAGGCACCTCTGTTTTAACTGCTGCTATCTGACAGTGTGTGGGGCAAAAGGCCAGTATGTTGTAGCACATTCTGTAGCTGGTGTAAATCTCTGTGCAGCTGCACATGACTGGGTGTCTCAGTCTCCCTTTGTCAAGTCCTTTTGCTGTGTTTTCATCATTTATTCCCCTTCTCTGAAGCATGAAATGCGGCTTGGCGCTTGGCCATCTCAGCTTTGCAACCATGTAAGCTCCAAATGTGCTGTGTGTAGCAGCTACTCTATAAGGAGCTCTCTAAAAAGTGAGTGATGCTTAATAGCACATGGCACTGTGTCCTGAGAAGATGAGTGGAGCTCTGTGTAGGCTGGGAAGAATAAAAGTGATCTCAGTGCTTGCTGCTGGTTGCAGCACAGGGTTGACCTTCATGCTGTTTAGTGAGTATATGTTTTAAAGTTCATCTTGTGCTCAGATAGAATGCCTGCTTTGTGGTCACCTCTACTGACTTACAAGCACGAGTTGCAGCAGATACGGGGAGGATGTCTGATGGCTGGCAGGATAGGGCTTCCTCGCTATGGTCCAGAGAGGTTTTTTTGGGCCAGTTTGCCAGGAGCAACTCCTTTAGTAATTCTAATCCTGTTTTTTGCAGAAGTGGCTTTGCCAAAGACGCCTGCTTCATAGTGTCTGGCAGATGATCTGTCTTCCCACCTCAGCAAAGTCCAATCACTAGTGTTATAATAATTTAGGACCACAGCATTGACCATTAGTCCCCTTCAGATCACTCTGAAGCTTCCTCATAGCCTGAGTTTCCCATCCCTGTTTTTAAGCATGGTAGAAAGTCTCCATCCGAAAATGTCACCTCTTTGTTTTCGTACTCTGTGTCTATGCTTCATATTACCTCTGGTCATCGCAGCGTGAAGGTAGCTGGTTTCATTAGACAGCTCTGTATGTGTATTGTTTCATGAAGGCACCAACTTGGGGATTAGATGATCTTTCAAGGTCCCTTCCAATCCCTAACATTGTGTAACTGCGGAGCAGAATGAAGAGAGCAACTGGTTATTGATGTTGTGTTTCTCCTCTTGCAGGAATTCTGTCTATAGAACAGCTCATCAGCCGCGTGGGTGTGATTGGGGTGACACTCATGGCCTTGCTGTCAGGATTTGGTGCTGTCAACTGTCCATACACTTACATGTCCTACTTTCTCAGGTAATTGCAGCCTTGTGAAATACTTTGTCCACCTTTTGAGATTATTCTGCTTCTCCTGGTGGATTGACTGAAGTGTTTTGTTTTGTTGCCTTTTTCCCATCCTTTAGGCTTTTGTGACAACTTTTTGTTTTCTATGCTCTAAGTATGCTGACTCTAGCTATTGCCATTTTCCATCACTGGAGTGTGTTCTATTCATACAAGTTTCTCTCTTCCTTGTTCCATAAGCATATTCATGTTTCCCCTGGAATGGGATAGCAGGCCTAACTGGGTGTCTCCATTTTGCAGGAATGTGACAGATGCAGATATTCTCGCTTTGGAGCGACGACTCCTTCAGACTATGGATATGATTGTTAGCAAGAAAAAAAGGTGAGAAGTCAGCAGTAGCATGAGACGATTTATTTCAAGAGTTTGCAGTCAGCATGGTGTAAGATAGTCTTCAAATTACCAAAACTTAGTCTTCTCAGGGCTAGATGTTCCAGTAAATCAGGTGGCTGAATGAGGTGGGAGCTGTATGGTTTATTTTTGCATGATAAGCAACTTTGGTTTCTTCCTAGTCCTGTGCTCTAATATCACCCTTTCTTACCACAGTGGCACAGATTAGGCTTCCCAGACAAGTTCTCTCTGATGGCAACTTGACTAGTCTAAGACATGTACTTTTCTCTCCTGATGAATAAATAACCCTTAATCCACCACAGTCGGTCTCTCTTACTGGCAGTTTTGGTACAGCAATTAGTTCACACATATTGAAGTTTCTGGGTCAAAGCTGAAGCACACTAGTGAGCTGGTGTGGACACAGCTATATAAACCTTGCAATTTGCAAAAATATTAGTTGAGTTTAGTGGATTTGCAAAACGTTGCTAATGTGAATGTAGCGTAGTGTACAGGCATCCTGCCAGAACTCTGCTGTTGTTGATCTAGCTTATTCCCTGCACCCTAAGTGAAAAAGCTACTTTCAGAAAACAATGTACTTGCATTTACACTAAAAGAATTTTTGTGTGCTGTTACAAATGGCATATTTCATGCCTTACCAGTTGTACAGAATAAATAAAATTAATCCATGTCTCTTTGAAGGTCTGTGTGTCTGACATTGAATTCTCATGACAACCCCCAAATCTTTACTTTTGGTGCACTCATGTTTTAATGGAACCTTTTAACGTATTACAAGGTAGCATAACCTTGCTGAATTAGTCACCAGCATGCATATGTGCTGATCAGTATTAGCATATGAAAGTGTAGTCAAAGCATATCTTCTTTCTTCCCTTTTGGAAATGTTAAGTGGTGAACAAATGTTAACTCAGTATGTGTGGTGATGTGTGAGACAGTAAGTAGAGAGAGAATTTATTTAAATGGAGAGGTTTAATTGATTGATATAATTGACTGGGAGCATAACAACGTACTGGCACTGGAGCTGAAAGATTTCTGGGTAGTGCTGCTTCCAACTGCTCTTTTGTACAGCATTTTTTGGACCTCTGATCTGGGGGAGGGTCACGTTGGGTTAAAAGTAAGGATTTCTGGGACTAGCATTTTCTGGAGATAGTTGTTGAAAGTTGTTTTCACTAATTCGTTTTGCGCAGGAATTACTGTTCTGTCCTTCCTGAGTGTACTCAGTTGAAGCATTATAGATACTTGCCTTTAACCTTGGAGGTTCTTTATGCTCATCCTTGCAGACTTTGCATAACTAAGTCTCAAGTTCAGAATGCCTAAGTTATGTGACACCGTTGCTTTATGTTACCTCGTATCAAAGTCAAATCAGAGCACCTGAAATGGATATATCACATGTATCATACTTCACCTTGACGTAGATGCAGTTCTGCTGCAATGCTGTTGTTCATTTGGGATGGAAAGGGGGAACCACGTACTGGGCAGATAACAAGGATTAAAAATGCAGTTATTGCTTCTATTTTGCAGCTACTGCGAGGAATTAGATTATTTTAGATCTCTCTTATTTGCAGTCTATGGGCATATGTGCTGTGAGGAGTGCCCCATGGGTGTTTCTTCTGTGTGTGTAGAAGTGATTTATTATTATTTTTTATTACACTGCTTATCAACAACCTTGTAGAGGGCTCAGTGCCAAATTTAGTGATGCTGGCTGCAGCTACAAAGAAGGGACCAAACACTGTCAAACTGGATTGCCTTGACAATCCTATGAACAGTTTTCAGTTGAGGAGTAGATGGATAGCTGGCTTACAAATCTCAGTAGAGAGAAATGTGAGTGAACAAGGCCAGAAGCCAACACTGCTTTTAGGAATTATGCTGCAGTGCACATGAGAGTGTGAGGGACAATATGCAGCTGCTGCTGTAGTATTGGATGAGTTTTAGAAGTCATGTTCAGTTCACTGTGAGCGTCCAGTGGTTCAGTCCAATAATGGATTTATGTGTTTCTGCTTCATAAGAGCTTGTCATGCAGCCTAGTAGTGAGTGACAGCATATCACAGAGTGCTGCTGCAAACCACCCAGTGCTCACGCTTCTCTGGAGGAGGCGGAACATGATAGAGGTGTTCAAGGGGAGAGAGGGGCATGAGAATTTTTTCAATTCCTAAATTTGAGTTAGCACAGTCATGTGTTTGAAGAAAGTGACTAATCACGTGACTGAGAAAGCCATTTGAATATTTACTTTTAATTGGATGTAAATCCCTTCAAGCGTTGAAGCAGAATTCTGAATAGAAGTCTTAGGAAGTGTCTCATTGAATCTTGCTTGATTAGATCTGGGCTCTATTCCAGAGCTAATCAAGATAATGTTATGAAGCAAGATTGGTGCTTAGGGAAATAAAAAGGGGGCATCTGTTTGCAGTGAATTTAGTTTAACAGTGTCTTCTGAGGAACTGTTTTTTTTGGTTGTTGATGTTTTTTTTGTTGTTGTCGTTGTTGTTTTCTTTTCTATAAAAAGACTTTAGGAATAAAGTCTTGTGTTTTCTGTTCTTGCAGGATAGCAGTGGCTCACAGGACAATGTTCCAGAGAGGAGAAGTGCACAACAAACCCACTGGCTTCTGGGGAATGATAAAAAGTGTTACAACATCTGTCGCAGGCAGTGAAAGTATCCTTCATCTGCATGCTGGCACCTGCCTTGGGAGGCGGCTCCAAGTCTTCATTTCTTTTGAAAGGAAGAGCCTTAGATAGGCGGGTTATGAAGCACTTGTGTTTCCACACATTCTAAGGTCAGAGTGAAAGGCTTCATGGCTTCTGGGAAGTTTGCTCTCTAGCACTGCATTGTCTCACCTTTTGCCCAGGGATTGAACACACAGTTTTACAGAGACACGTGGGAGTTGTATGCTGCTGCCCGACCATATAAATGTGCTGTTACGTTACCACAGTCGAGGTGTACAGCAGGTTGCAGGACATATGTACACACTTGCTGTGTCACATTGCAGATGTCTACCCTGTCACAACACTGGAGTGGGAGGAAGTTTTCTGTTCTGATGTATCCTTGGCTCACACAACTTACCTGCTTGCATATTTTTTTCATAACTTGAAATACAGTCTTCCAGGGTGGAGAATTAGTGGCATAGTTGGGCAAAACAACAGCACTGTCTGAGGTGCAAGAATAATTTACCTAGCCCATAGCTGGCTTTTTGGCTGTGTTGGCAAGCCATGAGCAGTTTCACAAAAAGGTGGATAAGAGCAGGTGAACAGACGTTGTTCTGCCCATGTGAAAGGGGTAGAAGGAATTCAAGAGCAATTACAAGGCTCAGTATTTCTCTAACTTGCTATTGCCTACCAAGAATTTTTTCCAGACCATTTCAAGTGCACAGTTTGTATATTTAAGGCCAAGGAGTCCTCTTCCTCTCCTTTTCCACTGGCTGTTAAAATCAAAATTTTGCTATTTTACTAGACCTTTCATGATAGTCACTAATTTCCTTGGGCAGTTAGGCAGTGGTTTTGGTTTTGAAGATGATGGGAGAGTGACATATAATGTACTCTGATGACAAGGGATACTGATCACTTTGGAGCAGTGGTCTTAGAGAGCTCTGGTTCTGCACCATGTTCCCTAGGCAGAGGAATAAAGAGCTTGTTGTGTAACTGCCTAAATGCTGTCTGTTACTTGCCTTCTTAAAATGGAGTACTGTGCAAGATAGGTATCCTTGAGATTTCTTTGGGTGCATTAGGACCCTTGGTACAAGGAGCACTAAGACTGAATCAGAAAACTGATCTGGATCATAAAGGTAGTCAGACTATTAGACGTGGCTTATGGGGTGAAGGCAGGGAATGTTTTCTTTTTAATTAAGAATTTGTGATGTATGCTAGCCTTGACTATGCTGGTTTGCCAGATCTGTCCCTTATCCAGCAAGAAGTGGATGCCCTAGAAGAGCTGAGTCGGCAGCTTTTTCTGGAAACTGCTGACCTGCATGCAACAAAGGTACAAACCAAAGTAACTGTGCAGATGGGCGCTGGGGGCCAGAGTGGCTTGAAAGAGAATGTATGTTACAGGAAATTGTGAGCTGTTTAGCAGGTGAATGTTGAAATATTGTGATACAGTGGAGTGAGAATGTTTGTTTAGTTTCGGGTCTTGATGACAGTTTATTTCCAGTTTAGATATACATTAGAGCATGCCCCTTGTTCCTAAAGTCATTCAGAAACCTCTGAATTTAGAGCTGTAGAAGGATAAAGGTGTAGTTGCCACTGTTGGTGCACCATTAAAATGTATGGTGTTGTGTTGTGGGTGATCATGGTAATGATATTTTTCTTTGTGCTCTGTTTCCCCCTCCTCCCTTTTGTATCTCCAGGAGAGAATAGAGTACTCCAAAACTTTCCAGGGAAAATATTTTAATTTTCTGGGTTACTTTTTCTCCATCTACTGTGTCTGGAAAATCTTCATGGTATGTAAATTATTTACTGTGATTTATATGGATGTATGCAAGTGTCATACCCTGCATAGATTATGCTATATGTGCACTGCATTAAGTAAGGTTCTAGTCTACTTAAAATCTTGCTTCTGGAAATTCTGAATGAAAATAACACATTTTTTTAAATAAAGCTCTGCATCTGTCTTTTTGGAGAACCTTAGACAAGTATTTCTTAGGTGTGTGTAGTTTTGCACCTTTTTAGAGTACCCAGCTGCTCCTCCCCTCAGTCATGCAAAGCAAGAGTCTCACAGGTAGCAGTGAGGTGCACTTTTTATGTACGTGTTTGAATGTAAATCCATCTCTGTCTTGCAGGCAACTATCAATATTGTCTTTGACCGTGTGGGGAAGACAGATCCAGTCACAAGAGGAATTGAGATCACTGTAAATTATTTGGGAATCCAGTTTGATGTGAGAATTTATTAATCCTTACACTTCTTTCAGTAATTCCTACCTTAAGTAAATAAAATCATACTGCTAATAACGTAGGAGTGATAGAGCCCTGAGAATGCATCTTTGGCTTCTGACTTATGGAAGAGATAAGGAAAATGCACCATGAACTTTGTTTTTAAACTGATATTATGCTGGGAGGGTGATGTGGTCTTGCCAGAGAGGCAGTGATGTGCATGCTTGTTTTGGGCAAATAGAAACATGCTAGTTGCCCTGCTTAGATGAATATATTTATCTGCAGAGTAATTACATTTGCCTGTACATGTAGATGTTCCGTAATCTGCACTTTTAAAATCTATCCCTATAAATACAGGGTTCTTTGTGATTTGTGTAAGTTAGTATCTATATTCCTTGTGTGTTAAAAGTAATCGATTGCTATTATAATTTTGAAAATGTCTGTTATGTAAACTTGTCTGCAATGGATATCAGTACCATTAGAAAACAAAGAGATCCTGAAGAATTGGCAGCTATACAATGTGGTGTAAATGGGGTTAGTGTTAGAGACTTAACTGTATTTCTCTTGTTGATACAGGTGAAATTCTGGTCTCAACACATTTCCTTTATTCTTGTTGGAATAATCATTGTCACCTCTATCAGAGGCTTGTTAATTACACTTACAAAGGTAGGTTTGGCCAGGACCATCTTATGTGTTTTTTGGTGAGGAAAACTGTTATCAGGTCTTTAACTTTAGACAGAGCATATACTGTGTAAATGTTCAGTACACATTTATGTTTTTAATATCTGAATGTAAATCCATGCAGAGGGAGGCAAAACATCTTTTGCACTGTATTTCCCCAGTCAGTTTTTATTGTTATTCTCAGGAAGAAATGTAGATGTTCAATGTGATGTTAAATGTAAGCATGGGTTCAAAATGATGCTATAGCCAAGGTTTATTAGTAAAGTTGCTGAGATCATGATTAAAAGGATTTAGATGGCCTAATTTGAATTGCTAGTTCTTTTTATCAAACTGGGAAGGCTTTAACTTGAGACATGTGACTTATCATGATGACCTGACTTTTGGTGCCTAAGCTTAAATATGAATGTATATCTTTATCTGACTTCTATCATGTGGTGCCTGCCACTGGCTTAGGAGATTCATGTTTAAGAATGCAGGTTTCTGAAAGTAGGTACAGGCACTTCTCCAAAAAACATGCCCATGTTTTTTTTTGTTTGTTTGTTTGTTTTTTGTTTTAAATCGACTGAATGGCATGCTGCTTTCATGATATCCTAAGGAATCATTGTTGAATTACTTATTTCCAGTACTTTCTTTTTTTTCTAGTTCTTCTATGCCATTTCCAGCAGCAAGTCCTCCAATGTTATTGTACTGCTTTTAGCACAGATCATGGTGAGTATGCAGAACCATATATATAACACCTGTATACTTTTATGTGTATGCACACATTTGTGTGCATATATATGGAGATAATAGTCTTTATGTGCTGACCCATCTTAACCACATAGCCAGTTGTGAAACAATTGCTAGTTTATCTTTTTTTAATTTACAGGGTATGTATTTTGTATCATCAGTGCTCCTGATTCGGATGAGTATGCCTCTAGAGTATCGCACTATTATAACAGAAGTCCTGGGAGAGCTCCAGTTCAACTTCTATCATCGTTGGTTTGATGTTATATTCCTAGTTAGTGCACTATCCAGTATCCTCTTTCTCTACTTAGCACACAAACAAGCTCCAGAAAAGCATATGGCCCTCTGAGTAAGGACTGCAGTCACTCACTGCTCTTTTGTCCTTTCTGCTGGACTGCTGCAACTCCTGTGGACTGCAAAACTTGAAGAGAGCCATGACTGTTCTGTGCATTCAAGCAGTGTAACTGGCTCTTTGAACTTCCACAGGTCTTCAATCAAGCCCTGTGGCTCATTTTGTTTAGGTGCCACAGCCTGAAGGAAAGGGAATGCACAACTGAATGTGAGATAATTCATTGCCGAGGAATAAAGGGAATCCATGGTACACCAGTATCTAGGGGGATCAGAAATTACATAATAGGCTGTCTGATATAAGACCTCTTGGTTTTAGAAGAACATCTTCATAGAAGGCATCAAGGAAATGTGATTTTTCTTTTTGAAAAGCAACTCATAATTGGGATTCAGAGGATGATAATTCCTGAACTGGTTGTGGGTGTCTGTGGAATTAAATAAGCTTTTGTAATATCTCATGCAAGCATCAGAGTTGTTTTTTGTCAACATGAAATACTTATTTGGAAATGAGCTAGAAAGTGGCTGGGGTTTACTGCCTAGCAGAAGTGAAATGGAGAGAAGTTGAAGGAACATCTGTATATCATTAGTACTTGCTGTTATCAGCTGGAGCTTAGCTGTCTGTTGCTGAATCTCAACTTAGTTTCCCTTGCCTGTATAAATGGAACAGAGGCTTTGGATTTCTGTTTGTTTGAGTTCAGCTTGAAGTCAAAGATCACAGCTATGCCTTGTTTACCTTCTCTGTTATAAATGTGTTTACCTTATATGTTGTAAGTTTGGTATTCCCCACTACCTGCCTATTCTTATACAGTAGCCTGTTTCCCCTTCTTGATGTTATTCAAGGCATAAAAGTAAATTTTATTCATGTGACTTGAACTTGCAGCTTCCCATAGACACTCTCACAGACATTGTTATAAAATTCTTCTGGAACACAGCTCATAGGTGATAAGGGTAAGACCTGGGGGAAAAAAATAACCACTTTATAAACAATTTATTTCTGTATTGTCTTTGGTGTACAGGAAGGAGGCAAAGAGTACAATAGCAGTATTACAGAGCCATTTATGTCACATCCAAGACAATGTGATGTTAACTTGGAATGAGACAAACTTGCGTGACTGAATTACACTTCTAACTACCAAGATCCACAACTGTAGGCAGAGAGAATAGTGCTTAATGATTTTGCATTACAAATTATGAATTTAGCTTAATGTTTGAAAGAAATTTCTGCAGTGTTAGTAGGAGAAAGGAGTGTAATAGACAGCGTACATCAGCTCATGACATATCGCAGCGGTTGTACTGCCATAAATATAGCACAGATTGTTGCCACCGAGATCAAGTTAACGGGCTTGGATTAGAAAGAGAACTGCCTCTCCTGGGAGATGGCGAGGAAACAGTTACTCTTTATTAAGAGCTTATCTTTAAAAGGCTCAGATACTTACGAATTTATGAAATGTTTTCTCCCTTTGCTACAGCATACTTAACTGTATACCTCTACTTACTAAAGCCTTTATGGATGTAAATGACTGACTCCCCACTTCACAAAGCAGAAAGCCAATTGCAGCATGTTAAATGACTGCATGTTACACTGAAGTGCTTATTTCAGGCAGCTGCATTTCAGCAAGTTATTGTGGTCCCTCACGGGTATGGAGGACTCCTAGGGGTAGCCAAGTCTTGGAGGTGTAGTAACAAAGAATGATTGAAGAAAGAGTATTTGGAAGACTTTTTATTTGTTCTCATCATAATTTGACTCCTCAGAACCTTGTGTCGTCACTGTTGTCTGTTCCTGCTGAGGCGACTGAATGTGAAGAAGAGGATGAACTTGCCTGCAGAGGAGTAACAAATAAGTTCTGAATTATTTTTAGTTCATAAACATGCTGGGTAGTCTGCAGTGTCATGAAGGCCTCTTGCTTTAATCTGTACTAATCATACATTTGTTTGGATGACAAAATGAGCCAGCAAATGGGATTTTTGTCATTGAAGTGCTCTTTGGTTACTTATGTTTAACAGAGAAAATTGTTTAACAAAGATTTCCTATTGTTTGAATCCTGTATTTGCTGAATTTGCACACAAAAATGCTGCTGACTTCAGATCTGCAAAATGCTGCTTGGTGACTAAGGAACTTTTGAAAAAATCTTGCAGCTGGACACTTGCAGACAAAGGTAATGAAAAATAGATAGGAGGCAGTATTGGTCTTATTCTTCCCTGACTGTCTCTCTTGCATGATTAAAAAAAAAAAAAAAAAGTATTGAAGATTGACCACTCAGAGGGTTCAAAATGACTGTTTCAAGAAGAAATACCTTGCTACTTTTCTGACTTGTGTCACGCTTAAGTTTCCTTCTACCATCATAATGTGAGCAAGATAATTTAAAATCTGCACACTTCTTAGAAATTGTCATCATAACCTGTCAATTGCTCTTTACAAAATGATTTGTTTTGAAATATTCCACCTTGTTTCCCCTGAAGCAGGTTATGCTTTTTGGTGTATTTAAGCACCTTTTTTTTTTTCCCCTGCACTTTAATGATTTGTATTGCCTCATTAAGACTCACAATGTATGGATTATTTTATTTCACAATATCCCCTGTATGTTTCTTTCTGCAATTTTATCTTGCATTAAAGATACTCACTTGCAGTATGTGTGGGGAAGGGATGAGTTGTTTACAATAATCAAATCACAGCTTCCCTATTAATAACAGACTGACTTGAAAAGAACAACACAAGTTAAAGATCCTAGTCCAGGTATACATAGTAGGTAAAAAAAAGTTCTTTTCCTGTCTGCTAAATGGTACCTGGACATCTGTGAAATACAATGTTACTCACCCTTTCTCTTGGTTCAGGGGAGGTTCGTTCGGACTCTGCTGGTATGGTTTCTGCATAAGCAGCAGGTTCAGAAGTGTCATGGATTGGATCTGCCATAGAGGCTGTGATGGGAATGTTCTGGTCCTGGAAGTATTTGTATGCATCTTTGCTGCACACCAGTACTGTTAGCTTGTCACCACTACTTTGGATTCTTGCCACCACTTTGTCATAGGACTCATTCATCACATTCTCCCCGTTCACTTCCACCAAAAAGTCATTATTTTCTACACCTGCTGTGTCAGCTGGCCCGTGGCTTTGTACCTGCAAAGGCAAGTTCAAATTGATATTAGCATAAAACTTGAGGAGATGCATTAGCAACTTATGGCTAGCTAGACTGTTGTGTTACTGCTCATTTTTTGTTGTTAGTTTATGTAACAGCAATGTTACATAAACATTGTGTAACGTTGTGGGGCAGGAAACAAATAGATTGGAAGAAGTAATAGGCCTAGTCATTATCCACATAGAACCCATCTGTTTGAGGTTTAAGATGCATCTGGATTTTTTTTATAAACTTTCCTTATAGGTGGCATGGTAGAATCATAAAGAAAAGGTGAAAAAAACAATTTTTGTATTATTGGCAGTAACTTAAATTTAACTTTACTACATTTGACAGATTATTAATGAGTGGAACCCCTCAATAAAACTAAAGACATAGATTAAAAATTTGAGATAACAGAAATTTGACTCTTAGACACTGAATTCCATAGGTCACATCTTAATGTCTGTAGGGAATCCTATAGCTCAAAAATACCTATTTAAAATACTAATTTTAGCATGCCAAGTTCATGAATAAAAACAAAAATGAGGCAAAACCTGGATTCTGCTTCCTTTTAGGTATCTAACGGAATGAGGTTTTTTTTTTTGGTGTTAACATTTAATCTTGGTCCTCCAGTATTGGCTTGACTTTAACAATTACAGCTCATATCCAAGTGAGCTGGAGGAAGAGACTTGTCTTTTTTGTGGCATTTCTTGAATGCATTTACACCACGGAAGGGAGGACACTGCCCAACAGACTACCCAAGCATTTTGTTGTTCATCGTCCTGCATTAGTACCTCATTAATAAAGAGTCCAGGTTTGTTCTTGGCCATGTTTAAACTGAAGCCAAATCCATTAGGCCCTTTCACCATCTTGCAGATTCTTGGTTTGTGGTTCACTTTCTGCTCACTGTGCAACTCCACTTTTTCCTCTGTTTTAGCTGGAGCTGGATCTTTTCCTCTGTTGTAGTATGAATAAGGAGAAATCTGAGCCTGAAAAAACAGTGACAAAGGAAAGTTTAATATAGAAACTTCTACTGCAAAATTTGTAGCTTTTATGCTAACTATGCTTTATTTGAAACCTTTTTTAATGATTCAGATTTAAGCTGCAATGAACTACTTTTTGCTGTTACTTTCTGTTCAAGTAGAAAACTAGAATGTTGATCCATGTGATAAGCTTTGTTAAGTGTTTTCTTCAAAAGGGTACACAGCAACGTAGCTCTGATTTTGCTGAAGTATGGGTACGTCTTAGACATTTGCTTCCAGATGAAGAAGTCTCTGCCAGAGCAGACTGGTTGTTTTGTTGCTGCTTCTGTCTCTTTTTAATGATGAATTATGATTCTTTAGCAGTAACTTGCGTTTTCTTACCAGTTTGTACATGGCGTCAGTCTCCTTATCCACTACCAGTAGTGTGGGTTTGGTCTCAGATTGTTTAATCTTTCCCACTACGCTCTCATGATCCAAAGCATCCACTCGCTCACCATTGACAGCTACTAAGATATCGTTATCTTTGAGACCTGCCTTGGCTGCTGGGCTCTTGGAATCAACATCCTTGATTACATGATCTAAGATCAGAAAAGAAAAAAAGATGAATGTGAAGGAGTACGCTTGGTAAGTGTAACATTATTTTGTATAGTAAAGACTATTCACTGAGGGTTGAAGCAGTTTTCCAAGTGTAGTCTTGTTTGCAACAGGTCTGTTGAGGATTTCTTTGAGGTGAGTACTAAGGAGCCAGACAAGGAGAATGAGGTTTGCAAACCCTGTACAGGAATAAGCTGTATAGCAAAAGACATGGCCTGTGTGTTAACTTGGTTCTTACCACCGGTGTTTTGTTCCAAACGTAGATAAAAGCCATAACCATTTTCTCCTTTCTGGAGCTCAATAAGTCGTGGTTTGAGGGGAAGCAGTTCTAGGCTGGCTCTCTCTTTGTTCAGTGTCATCTTCTGGCTTGTGTAATAGCGGTCTGTTTCTTCATTTGAAAGTAGAAACATTACGCAATTTCCAGAATTCTTTACCTGCATAAGTACATGAACAGTCTCAGTCAGATGTGACCCCTTCAACAACATGTAGGAATTGTAGCTACTTCAGTAACTGGTATACTGATAGGCCAATGGTGTGAGTACTCTTGGTCCTCTTTCATGTCCCTCTATTACTGCTTCTGAAGTCTTTTGGGTCTGTTCAACCTCTTTCTCTAATTCTGTCTTTCTCCAGTTCCTTTCTAGATTAATGAGTGCCCTCTTCACTGATCTTAACTGACATCAATCTGCAGCTGATGCTGTAGTAGCCCATGAAACACAAGTGTTGCACGGTTCCATAGTAGTGTGCACTCAATAGTGTTTCTGGCACGCC